CAGAACTTCAGACTTCAAACTCAAGAGTTTTCAGAAAAAACTTTTTTTTTTGAATGAAGTCAGAACCAAAAATCGTTAGAACTGAGGGAAAAAATACAGCTTCAAAAAATAATTCCCATGCTGTTAAATAAAAAAAAACCCAAATCCAACCACTAACTCACCACTGAGAGGTGAAAACTCCGTAAAACACAGTGTTCTTCCAGTCTTCTGGACTGGGCGTCAACACAAACATGTCCTGGATGATGTTGAAGGGAAATCCATCGTCAGGCAGCGAACACAGGAGCTGGGCCTTCAGGAAGGTGGTCCATTTCTTCTGCAGGACCCTCTCACCCCCCATGTCTCCCTGCAACAGACACAATGATGCACTTTCACAAAGTGGCCACTAGAGGGCAGAGCAACATGAGACTAACACAGGACTGGGGCAGGTGTTTTTTTTTTGTTTTTTTTGCAAAGTCAGGAGAAAAAATTACATGCAGTGAATCGGGGGTGTCCAAACTCTGGACTGCAGACCAGTTCTGGTCCACAAAGTTAAAAAAAAAGGGTCAGATTATTTCTTTGGTAGATGTTTCTCTTTGTTTTGGTTTTTAAATGTTGTGATTGTGTTGAGCAGGTCTCTCCTAGAGATGAGATTTTTTTTTTATCACAGTGACATGAAGCTGGTAAAATCATTTTGTACCAAACGCTGCATCATCTCAGCAGTTTAAAAAGAAGTTCACAGGGAGTTCTCAGCTGTTTGGGCAGGTGATAATCCCACTCTCTGCTCTCTGACTGTAATCCTAAACCCTTTTCAGTTGGCTGCTGAGTCCTGTGTGAACGCAAACGTTTGGGTGAAACATGATAAGAAGAGGAGGGAGAGGAAGTAGGCAGAGGGATTCTCTTTCTGTAACAGGAGACTCCGCATCATCAAAACTGTACGTTTTACAAGTGTGTTTAATCTGCAGGAAGTTTCCAGAACAACTGTAGATGTGTGGGAACGTGGAGTCAGCTGACGTTGACATGACGGTTTCTTATCTGAGAGATTCCTTAGGTTAGACTCCTAACTTAACCCAACAGTGTGTTATTTTTAGGGATTAACTAAACTTAATTTTTAACATTTAATTTAAGTTTAAAATTTATTATCAGATTGATATTTAATTAGCAAAAATGTATTAGGGCAATAAATATTAAAGCTCCAATGATTATCATTACAGTGAAAACTTCAATTACTGAACCAATTAATTCTTATTACTAGAACATTGACATTATTAATAAGTGTTATTAGCATCAAATGTTAATATTTCAGCATCAATCATTATTATTAGTGAACCATTATCATCATCCCAGCACTGACTGTTACTATTAGAAGACTAAATATCATTGGATGGAGATTTATTATTGTTATTGTTATAATACTAGAATTTCAAATAGTAAAATTCTAGTAATATATAAATATTATTATTGTTAATTATTCAATTATAATGATTAGAGTAAAACCATCCCAGAACATGAATATTATCCTCAGAGGATTAGGATTAGAAGACAACAGTATTTTCATAAGGTGTCCGTCCGGGAACTGGGTTGACCACCAGGTGTCAGTAGGTGGTCCTGTAGTACTGTAGTACAGCAGCTGGAGGCTAAAGGACGCCTGTCTGCTCACCTTACACACTCGGGCGATGCGTGACACGATGGTGTTGTCAAAGAAATCAAACTCCTTCCCTGCCTCACTGAAGAAGAAGTAAATCTTATCGTCGTCGCCCACCGCGTTGCCCCGGGGCAAACTCTCCTGGATGTAGGCAGAGCCCACAAAGGACGGCTCTGAAAGGGAGGGAAGGAAAAATTAAAACGTCATGAGAGTTGCCTGGAAGGAAAACAACTGGAATTCTGACGTCACTGCAGCATTGTTTCTCTGACGCATACAGATTCAGTGGAGATTAAAAAAACATTTATTCAGATAATCTGCCATTATCAGATTAGAGGTTAGATTTTTTTTTTTATAGAATTTTCTGAAAACAAGGCTGGCAGTTGAAAAGCAAATGAAGTTGTTTTTGTTACAGTCACATTTTCACCAACAACTCTATGTCAGTAGTCAACACATCACTACCTAAACCCTTAAACCCACCTGGTGTTTAATAATTTTAAATTTATTGCATTTTCAAAGGTTTTTTTTTTCCTGCACCTTGAAGCCAGTTGAGAGAGTTTTCCGTCTTCAGTGAGGTTCCTTGGCTCAGAGTCTTGTAAATAATGGGTTCGTTTCCCTGGAAATTACTGACTGTAGCAGCGAACAGTCGTCCATCTGACACACACACACACACACACACACACAGGGAGAAAACAAAGGTTAGCTTTTGTTTGTTGTGCGTTGACCTTCAGGCTAATATTTCTTGATCATTTACCCAATTTTTCACACATTTTGGAGTCATTTTTAACATTTAGCCGTTTCTGAACTAGCATCTTGCTAACATTTTAGGCTCAGTATTAGCTCTTTATGCCAGTTAAACCAATAAATAACAATTCTGTTTAGATCATGTTGACATTTTTAAATCCTTTTAGCAAGTGTTTTTGGTAAACACTTACTTTCTTGTTCCAAGATAGTGATTTATTTTCATTGGCTAACCCGTAGCTACCATTTTTTTTTGGCTATCCTTTAGGTATTTGGGGAATTAGCGGTTACGATTATTTAGCTGTTTTAACCTTAATCAGTGTTTGGTTTTTTTTTCCATCATGTTGTTCCCTCTGTGCTTGGACCTTACCAGCCATGATCGCTGTGGACCTGTAGTCGGGGTTGAAGGGGCAGCGACTTCTTCCGTCCTCCGTTACGACCTCCCCAGTGTCACCCCTGACCAGGGAGAAGTCGGCAGTGTTCTGCAGGAGAGATGACACAGCTGTAACCTGACTTTGTCTGTTTCTGTGTTCAGTTGTGGATTGATTTTTCAGCCTTTTGTGGAGTTGAAGGTAATGCGTTTAGATCTGTGCTGAAATAATCTGATTACCAGCATTAAATATTTGGATGCATTTCCCTTCAGCCCCAGGATGTAATAAAATAATGCATGTACAGTAATAACACAGCACCTCGGCTGCAGAGTGACTAAGTGAGCGGAGAGACAGGAAGCAGCATGAGTCAGGGTTTAGAAGTACTTCCCACAGGATGTCATGAAGAAATACAAACTTAGAAAGTATCTTTTTTCTGAAAAGTCGCAGTATTTTAGGTCTGTAGTTTCTCAGAAATCCTCTGGAATTGACTCTGGAATAATAAAAAAAAAGTGTCCAGTTTTGTGTAAATACTTACAATGTAGGCACAGATGGGGCTGAAGGCGTACGTCCCACACACGTACAGGTGAGTGCTGTTGATACGCAGCAGAATCTTGATGTAGTTGAAGCAGTCCGTCTGTGTTGATGTAAAATACAGAGGAGGTTATACAAAAGTTACAGATATATATATTTATATATGTGTGTATATATATATGTTCCAGTCTGACGGGATCAGATGAACCTGTCACTCACCTGCAGGTCTTTGCCTTTGAAACTGCACTCGTCTCTCTTCCGCTCTGGAGTTTTCCAGGTCAGCTGCAGGAGACAAACACCTCAGACTTAAAACATATTTTTTCTGTGCTTAAACCTGGTACTGTGATACAGTTGAAGGACATTTTCAGATTTTTAATCCCATCAAAACAATTTAACTCTAATATCTTTAATCTCTAAATTATTTTATTGAGATTTATTATTTATACAAATTAATGTTATATCTCATCATTATGACGTTACTTTAACTTTTACTTATTATGGCTGCATTTTATTTATTAATATTTTTGACTAATAATTTATGAATCCTTCATTTTATGTCCTACAGCTGTGACTTTTTTTATTCGTAATACCAGTTGTTTGTATTTCATGTAATTTTTTAATGTGAATTATAAATGTCTCTTTCTTCTCGTAAGTTTGAACTTTATTCTTTTGTTTAACTCTTTATGTGGTTTTATTTTAATGCCTCATCCATGACATTTTTATTTGATATGTCACCTTAGATTTTTAATAATTTCAATTTCTTATTTTTTTTTTAATTCTCACTGTTTTGTCCTCGTTAACACAGCATATGTCAGTGATCATCAACTGGCAGGACGCGGGCTAAATCCGGCCCACCAGACCGTCCAATCCGGCCCACGGCTGAATTCCAAAGTTTTGAGGTGTGGCTCTTACGTTTCTCTGTAGTTTGACGGAGCTGACGTCAGAGAGGTTGAGAGCGAAGAGAATCTCCCGAGCTCCGATGTACAGCATGTTGTCTTCTTTACTGAGCAGCAACGAGGTGTAGTTGACCACGCCGCTGACGGAGAAACGCCTGGTGCTTCTCTCCCTCGCATCTGGGCGGAGACAGAAGATTCATGTTAGTGATGGGAGTGTTTCTCAGTACAAATAATAAAAAAAACAAAACAACAATTGACACACACAAGGTGTGATTATTTGGGTCTGTGAAGTAGTGAAATAAAATACCGGTTACGTAGAGATTAACCTCAAGTTTACTGTATGAACCTAGCATAATAATGCTACACGTTAGCTTTCACACGGGGTTAAAGGTTCATTAAAAGCCCACAGACGCTGGGGGTCATAATGACAAAGAGAAACCACACTTCCTGTGTGAAAATAATCCAGTCCAGATTGTAGAAGGTGTGATTAGGCTACAACTGATAATAAACACAGTACGGGGTGTGTAGCCCGCAGTAGTGTGTGCGCAACCTGATATGACCTCACCTCAGCGGGGAGGCTACCGGAGCCTGGCAGATTTCCTCTCCCTGGGGTAAAGAACATGTTAAAAGCAGCTCCATCTCCGCAGCAACGCTGAGTATCGTAGTTAAATGAGTCTGTAAAACCCAGGAGACCCGGCGCTCTGAATACTGTACATCAACAAACCCACTGGGAACGCTTGGTCTGCAGTCATGACAGGAAACACACCGCCTTCATTTCTTCACTCCCCCTGCTGGGCTTCAGCTGAAGGTGGCAGTGATTTACAGAGAAGGCAGGACGACCAAACAAAAAAACCCCCGGTCCATAACAACAGCTCCCAGGGAGAAGAGTGATGTCAGCGGTGTCGCAGTGACCACACGCTGCCACAGGGAGCAGAGGAGAGACTTTGAAAGAAGATAATTAAAAAGCTAGAGGTCAAAGAAAACAAACGACGAGAAAGTCATCTGTCAGAAGTTCACCATCCCAGGTGCTGATTCCGTTCTGTCATTTAGTAACAACAAATTTCCCTTCTTCTTTTTCTTCTTCTTCTTCTCCACAGTGCTTCTTCTTTTTCTTCTTCTTCTCCTCCACAGTCCGAGGTTTCCTGTTACTCCAGCTCCTGCCTGGTTTCTACCCCTGTGGGCAGATCTGACCTCATGACCCACAGGGAAAGGTTCAGGTTCAAAGCGGGAACAAACGAAGCTCCGTTGTTGTCAATTCTACGTCATAAACGAACATTTAAGAAACAAAGTTGATGTGTCTACAGACCTCAGCTTCAACACCCTTCAACAGTTTCTTTTTACAGCATGGGAGACCTCTGCGTCACCCCTCATCCTGGTCTTCATCTCACACAGAACCAGACAACTCCCTCTGAAGTTTCTGGAGACCAAAACAGAGCAGGTCTGAGCTGGGTCCACTCCAGAGACCACAGAACCAGGATCAAATGACTGCTGGCCTGAAAGACTGTTACCTCCAAAACAGACATCTCACGTCAGTGTTTTCTACTTGAACTCCTTTTGCCCTCTGCGTCCACTGAAAAAAAAAAAAAAAAAAATCCCCACTTTTGTTGTTCGAGTGTCTGAGGTCGGACCGGTCCATGACAATGCGGCTTCAGAGAGGTTGTGGTCTTCAGCAGCAAGGGGGGAAACGGACAGGAAGGGTTCAGAGGAAGGACAGGAAGAAGATCCACAGAGTCAGGGCCAGTTCCACCGTCGTGTCAGGACGACAGCGATGAACTCCCTGAATTCAAATGTTTGTTGGTCCACTGTTGGGACAGATTCAAACCAGGGACCAGACCAGTGTCACACTGAACGTTATCCCTGACAACTTTATAGAACTGAAGGAACAGCCGAGTGAGCAATATGGGAGCGTTAGCATTTTTATGTAATTGAAAAAAAAAGAAATCCCTGACGATGACACAATTAAGTGGATCTAAGTACTGCCTGGGCGGACAAACGTATCTGTTTAGAGGAAGAATTAATTATATTCCGCTTTAAGGAAGCCTTCTCCATTTTCACTGCTGATTTCTTAATGAGTCTAGAGCCCAAAGAGTGGATGGATAATTAAAAAGTGCCAACAATAGTCGCTACAGCGGGAATTACACAGCAATCTGTGACAGTGATAGTAGAGCGCGCTCCAGTGGAGCACGTGTAACAAAATCAAAAACAACTTGAATAAGCAGCTCTGAGCTCATTAAGTTATTTCCAAAAAAAATTGTCAAAAATATCACACAGCTCTGAGCTCATTAAGTTATTTCCAGAAAAAATGGTCAAGTTATATTTTAGGACAGGCATGGGCAAACTAAGGTCCGGGGGCCGGATATGGCCCGTTTGCCTTTGTAATCCGGCCCGCCAAATTTGTCCAAATTATGTCATTAATTTATATTATCATTATACTTCTGCCTTTTCGCTGCAATGTCTGTAGTTCCCCAATAGATGGCATAGAAAAGGCTAAAAGCATTTTAGCATTTTAACCTTTATTCATGACTTTCAGCGATGGCATAGAAAAGGCTAAAAGCATTTAACCTTTATTCATGACTTTCAGGTGCAGTCAGTTCTATCTGTGTTCTTTGAAGAAATATGGTTTTCAAATATAATATGGTGTAAAAAAAGGAGTTGGAAATTCAAATCTTTAAATGTTATACAGAATTTAAAGATCCCTGACCAGGTGGAGGACGAGCTGCAGCAGAGCTGCTGTCACAGTATCTGGTGACATCAGGACAGAAAACAGGCCACGCTGGAACACTAACCCAATTATCCCTGCAGTAACTTTAAACCAGCTATTAGAAGCTGCTGCTGTTGAACGGCTAACTGTGTGGGAGAGTCGAGCTGAGAGTCGGAGCTGAAGGACACGGACTCCAGCATCTGGAAGGCATTCAAACTACAGGCCGACTCATTAAAGGAACTGAGAGCCTTATGTTTGTGTTTGTTAGCAGCGAATGTCGTCTCCACTGGGTCGTGGAGTCGACCTGGAGACGGATTTAAGGAAGAGAGACTTCAAATGCTGTGTAAAATACACAGTTTTTTAAATTAGAAATTAAAGAAAAAACTATTTGTCAGGAGGATATGACATCATCTATTTCATTTAACGTAAATAAGTCAGAAACTAGAAGGCACTTCCTGTGTCTGAAATATATAATATGATATTATTAAACTAGAATTTTAATAGATTCACGTATGTTATATTCAAGTTAGATAAAACAGTTAGCTGTCACGTAGCTTATAAAGGGGTTGTACGTTAGCCAGACAAGCAGATAATCTGAAGATGGCAGAGAAAAAGATAAGATAGCTAAAAAAGTACTCAAGTTAAACCAGAAAAAGCGAAGTTATCTGTAGAGGCTTTTTGTAGCCTCACATCTTTAAACCACAAATAGCTTCTAAAAAGCCTAGCTTATTAAGTAAAGCTATCTTTAGCTAATAGATAGCCAATAATAGCTTCAAAACTCCCTGAAGATACAGTAACAGTAAGTTGACCAACAAAGGTTTCCGGGAAAAACAAAAGTCAAAAAATACCAAAAGTACACTAAGAACATAGTAAAAAGAAAAAGAAAAAAATAAATAAAAAATCAGGAACATCCTGTTAGAACAGGATCAGAAGATGAGCCAGAACTGGACATCAGTGTCAAAATAATGACGGTAACTAGAGACACCGTACCATTGTGTCCTGACCAGAAACACACTTTAAATGAAGCAGCTGTAACAGCAGGTTTACTGGCTCCGCTGAGTGTGATTTATGTCCCACACAGCAGTGGGGGGGGGGGTCATAAACACCTGTAATCTCAGGATCAATGATCCATTTACTCAGGACGGGCTGAACACAGTGAATCAGTGAAATGGACACTGGTTCCTCATTACTGACTCCATTACAGCCTGTTCCATCCACTGCAGTCAGTCGAACAAATAAATAGTGGCGCGAGTACCGGAGGAGAGAAGGTTCCTCGGAGAACCGACAGGAGAGAGATGGCTTTATCATCGTTGGTTAATGAACTGGATATCAATGGTTTGGACATTTGTTATTATTAAGTTCTAAATCACACAGCAGTTTTTCTCTGTGATTTTCTTTTTCTTTTTTTTTTTTTACGCGTTACCTTGTATTTCTTGGCTTTTTGCTTTACGTTTTTACTCCTAGCAACTTTTAGTTACTTTTACCATTAAACATTTTTCTTTTACGTTTTAATTTTTTTTGTAGTGCAGTTATTTTATTCTGTTTTTTTTTTTTTTTGTTTTTTCCACCTTAAATTATTAGATTTAAGGTGGAAAAATATTTATTTTCTTTTGGCACTTTGGACTCTTTTTTAAGGTTTTTTAATCTATAATTACTCAAAAATAATTATAGATGAAAAATATATATAATAGCCTGTACCAGCCTGACGTTCTGATTTATTCCACTAAACACCGATGCTGGGCAGAAACACAAAAAAATTGCGGCGCTTTCATCACTCACTCGACTCCTGTGTTGTTTTAAATCAAAGTCGACTGATTCAGAGAGTCCAGACGTGACAGGCTTTAAATTATTGAGTCGTTTCACTCGTCGTGCGGCCGCGGGCTGCGCCGCTACATGGAATTAAAGCGTGACTGTCACAGGATGTCTAACGGTGGGCTGAGCAGCGTAATGGTGTTGTAGGTGTGTCTTTAAATATATCCAACACACTGAGCTGCTGTGTGTGGTTCGCATTAAAGTCTGGAACAGAAGCACAGAGAAAAGCAGATGTAGGACNGATCCCATGATCCCTCCTGATAGGCACATAATGAGAAGCAGACAAGTGTTCACAGCCACGCACATACAAATCCCCATTCATTATTCATGGAAGATTACCCTCTTCATTAAGCTAGGGACCGGGGACACAGTCAGGGAGAATCAGTCAATGCAGTGTTACCGGATGTGAGGGGATGTGGAGCAGCCAGACTGAGCTGTGGTCCGCCCACACCATTGAAGTGAAAGCATGGAAGTCATCAAGATAAGTGGCAAACAGTTGAGGACACGGAGGACCAGGAGCCAGGATGGGAGCAGACAGACAGTTCTGGTCTCTGAGCCTCACGGCTCCCAGTGTCTGATATCGTTCAGAAATATGTGTCAGTGCAGTAGAACAAATGGTAACAGAGTGGATGGCTGTTACGGTTTGCTCTTAATTACATGTACATAGTCGCCGCGCTCTACTGCCCAAATTTCTACTTCAAGAATTTGAGGATTAACCTCAAAAATGTGTTTAAGTATAAAAAACTAAGGCCAACACTTTTTTGATTAACCTAAAAAAATGTGTTTAAGTATATATAAAAACTAAGGCCAACACTTTTTCTTTCAGTTCCCTAATTTCTTTCTTATTTCATTTACCACAATGAAAACAAATGTGTTGTTGATAATAGAGAGGGAAATTTCAAAGAACAAAAGAAAAAATGTTTGGCAGAGCAGAGATGAGCTTTGGTCCAAATTTTGCTCATAAAATTAGCTTTAGTTTGGCAAATTCTCAGCTATCCCTGCTAAGTATTAGCTCTGACAAAATGTTAGCCTTTTAATGGTGTACTTCAAACCATCCTGTTAAAACTAGAACGCGCTGATGAGTGAGGATTAGTCATAAAAATGTGACATTACGGCCTCACGTAGCACGGCCTACAACTCAAGACTCCTGATATGTGGGCCTCACGTAGCACGGCCTACAACTCAGACTCAGAGGTTTCGTAAGTTTTTCACAGTGATGTGCGACCTCAGCTGGATGCCTTAAAAGCAAAGCTTTCCATCACAATGCAACAAGCCCTGCTTTAGTGACTGATTGATGATGTGCGCGGTTGAGCAACGCTGCTGTAGAGCGGAGCTCTGGGCTTTGTTGACAATCGCAGGTAAGAAACAGAAAGATTAGCTGTTAGCAAAGAGGTCTGGCATGAGTGGAGGCACAGGTCGAGACAGGAGAGATGTGGGACCTGGTAAAAACTGATTCATTTACGGGAAATTATATCTATGTTTATCACAGATAATCACTGGGGAATCATCAGCGTACGGAGTAATTCTACACTGTTGGTTAAATATGAGCTTCTGACCAGATTTAAGACACTTGGACTTAGCCCTAATCTCACAATTCATCATTTTGTTGACATTTCCATGGTGATATCTGAGATAAAGTAAATGTTTAAATCCAACATGTCGTCTCAAGTGCTCCCGTACATCATTACGCTAAGTGCCTCGGATTCGGGTGAGATCAAAATACAACTCGGCAGCAGTGACAAAACAAGAGAGTCTGCTGCGCAGGAATCTACTGCTAACGGCTAATTACGATTCCAAACGTACAATACACAATATGCAAGTGCAAGAAAGTGTGTGAGAAAAAGGACACGCATTTTAGGATGGCAAAAATGATCTCCGTCTAGGCCTAAATTAAACTGCAGACCTGGTGATTTGGTAATTATGTCTGACCTGTGCATCCACAAACATGACGTTCTACTGGAGACACTGCAGTATTGCATGGATTTCCATCCTTCACAGATATATTTAGACCTAACATCTGACATATATATGAAAGGCATTGATTATCTTCAAGTGGAAAAGCGAACAAAATTAACACATACAGACCGCTAGGCAGGATGTCAAAGCACAAGATGGAGTACATGCTCAAAAATCACGCAACCGGATCGATAAAAAGCTGAACTACACAAGTGCTTGAAGGAGCGTCGTCGCCATCAGCAAGTAAAAACAACGCCAGTTTAAGAAAAAGATGAATTTGCTTCCTGACCCCAGTCGGTGGCGCTAAAAACTATTAATTACATCATTTTTATCCTTCAAGTTGATGGTGATTGGGAAGTCCTCTGTTTGAAAATGTACCAGTCTTATATAGATCCAGTAGGTGGCAGTAAGAAGGCGTAGTTTTAACATGCGGCTGAATATATAATATAAAGTTCAATAATTACTAGCACATGGTTAATATGAGTAGGTCATGGAAATACTGAGGAAAAAAAATTCAACAAATGTTTCAACTTGATGTTGATCAAATAATACCTTTTTGCCAATAGATGGCAGTGTAAAAATAACTCATTGGTCATTATAAGTAAAAAAAAAAAAGCAGAAACTTACTGTAGGAGAAGGTGAGTCGTGGAGTCACATCATTTTCTGTCACTGCTGTGCGTAAACATCCAAAGAACAGGACGGCGAAGGCTGGGAGACAAATCCAGGACTTTGTCATCGTCCCCATGTCTGTGTTCGGACCCCGGGTCAGCAACGTGGACTATATTTAGCTTTCAGGGTTTTGGGGAATTCATGAAAAGAGTCTTTTTAAACCTGTGTTTATTTTTTCTTTCTTTCCTCGTCGATGATGGACCTTCAGGCTCCGTGAATGAAAGGTTTGTGTTGCTGTGAAGTCTGGGAACTTTTTGTGGGCTGTGGACAACCAGGCTGGTTTTAAAAGGTTGGTCTGGGACCTCAGAACAGGACAGAGAATCTCCGTTGGTTTACGCTGCGTCTCAAATCAGATCTGTAAACAAGAAGGACAACAGACCAACGTTAGGAAAAAGGCAACATGTGTTTATTGTTGACAAACAAATGTGAGCGGTTGAACTGAAATATTTATATTTTTTACCACAATCTCTGTCATTATCATCTGTTTTAGGTCAAAAGGTTACAGTTAAGTAAAGTCAGTTTAGCTTGAAGTCAATGTTTTCCTCATCTTTTTTTGCAAAGTATATGCTGTTGCTATTATTGGCTAACTCAGGTTTTTTGGCTTTTATTTTCATCTACATTTGTTTTGGTATTCTTTCTTTGGGTCAATTTGTATGTTTTGATCATTTGGATTAATTTTAATTACACTTTTTGCCAGCGGTTTTGCCATTTAGGATAACTTTTCAAATGAAACATTGTTTTGTTTCATTTATGTGATGCGGTTACTTACTTTCACCCAAATCCAAATGCAAATACGTTGCATTTCTGAAAATACTTTTTTAGTTCAGACTCCAAGTTCACTACAGTACAGCCGTCTCTCTTTTGCGGCTGTTGTGTTTACACTCCGTTTCTCCTCTGAACAACACGTACCTGTTGTTCTATTGTGCTCGGTACGAGAGGAGCCGTTTCAAAAACAGGTTACGGAGCTCGTGTTACAGAACTCCGACCACGGCGTTCACTGGTTTGAACTGTGCTTTTATTACCCCGCGCTCTGATTTTATGTGCACACATTATAAACAATGACACTGTTAAAAGTTTAGGTTTTCCCACAAGGTCACAGAGGGGCTGGAGTTCAGCTTGTCCTCAGCTGTGGTCTGCAAAGTTATGGACGGAAAATTGTCCAAAGCCAGAGGACGTTGACAGCAGTGTCCTCAGGTCAATTTATTGTCCTTAAAAACCTTTTTTTTTTGGCATCATCTCTGACTTTCGGCAGCCACAAGTACAAAACCACAGACGACTGCGTTAGCAGTAAATGGAGTTATGAGGCGTTTCAGTCATGCTTATTAACTGAACGTGGTGAGACACCAGAGGGAAAGTCAATACAGACGTCCCAGGGCCCATTGAAGACTCCATTACATCTGCCACATCACAGGGCGGAGCTACTACTGCTACTGCTGCTGCTGCTGCTGCTGCTGCTGCTCATTAACTGCTCCAGGAACAGGCTCACTTTCATGGTGATCAATAAGAAAAGACGTCTGTAGAAGACGCTCCAGAGTCCAGATCGATGAACAGGCTGCGAATACAGACGTCTCTAAAGCCGAGGCAGGACGAGGGGCTTCAGGAGGAGCAGAGAGGAGGCCGTTACTGCAGCTGTGATTACTGTTAGACAGCAGGCACAGCTCAACGTCCTTGTTTGATAAGTGGTCAAAATGTACTAAGAACGACTTCAAAAAGTTGACTGATAAATGATGATAATTGATAAATGATAAATCTGCCAAAAGCCAACGTTGTTTCAACCTGTCAATTTCAAGTTTCTCCATTTAATTTTTAAAATAATGAAATATGGTTCTTGAAGTGACAACATTGTTTCCTTGAATAATTCACTGACTTTGAATCCCTGTTTAAATAACTGTACTTTAGGTCAATCTTTGAATTTACTGACATATAACATATATGTTGGCTAACTCTCAGTCAAAGACGGTCATTTTGTGCTAAATTTGTGACCATCCTGTATCTTTTCAGTCCTTAATTCTCAATCGGTTTGGACTGAAGTTAGTTTTGTTTGAGCTATTAGACATGAAAAAAAACACCTGAGAGAAACCTGTTAAAAATGTATGCAGCGTTGACATGTATTTTTAATAAATCTTGTTCTAAGCACTTTGGTTAAAATCAGGTCACCAAAAATGTTGTTTTCATGAAGTTCATTCAGTTTATAAATAAAATATAAATTTAACTTCACCTGAGAAGAAAAAAAAAACCACTTGGACTCCCCTGATCTGTCATCTACTATAAAAGGAAAAATAATCAAAAAGGTTCTGGGCACTGAAGATCCCTGAGCTACAGCAGCGGGACTCTAACTTTAAAAGATCCTAATGAGAAAAGCAGACAAGGATATTAAAAAAAGGCAGAGTTTAAATCACCGTCTGACGTCCTTTTGGACAGAAACAAAGAGCCAACATAAGGCCAGCAGACTGTAATAAAGCACAGGGAGGGTGGTCATAAACATCATTAGTGTCCTTTGTGTTGGAGCGATTCAAACGTCGCCCAGGAAAAAAGGAAAGTGGACACAACTACATTCAGAGCAGAAGAAGAGTCCTGCATGCACCACTGCAGCACAGATCCACACAGGCTCGCCCGGAAGGGGGGGGGGGGGGGGGGGGGGGGGGGGGGGGGGGGGAAG